AATCAATTGCGTTGGAGTGGTTTTCCAACCATTTGGAGCTGGAGTGGAGCAAAGGGCGTCAAGTGGCCCCATCGACTGGAGTACCACCGGCAAAACAAATTGTGAACGAGCGGCTGCATACTAAGTATCTGAAATAGTAAGTAGATTTGTAATATTAATTGGGTTTATTTGTAGAAACGAAGCAGCTAACAAGTGTTGAGGCATTGCAAAAACCAAATCAGCAGCAACTGCAACCCTACATTTGCCAGTGCTCCAGCAGCAGCAACTGCAACTACAAATTTATCAACGCTCCAGCAGCAGCAACTGCAACTACAAATTCAGCAAGGCCCCCACCAAGTGGTCCACCGCGATAGCAAGTTCGCAACAGCAAGGCCCCCAAGGGGTCCACCGCGATAGCAAGTTCGCACCAGCAAGGCCCCCACCAAGTGGTCCACCGCGATAGCAAGTTCGCAACAGCAAGGCCCCCAAGGGGTCCACCGCGATAGCAAGTTCGCACCAGCAAGGCCCCCACCAAGTGGTCCACCGCGATAGCAAGTTCGCAACAACAAGGCCCTCCACAAGTGGCCCACCGCGGGAGAACAGTCCCATTAGTGGCCAACAGAGTAAGCTGCAAGATAAGGTAAGCCTTTCAATTTGGCACGTATATTCGCGAAGGGGTGAGGAAATTGCATAAGGCCGTGCGTGAGTACCATATTCACCCCTTCCATATATATATATATATTTTTTTTTAATTTTTTTAATACGTATATATACTTCCGAAATTTAAACGGTATCGGTGTAGGATAATCCGTTCCTTTTCGCGAAATTCGAGCGGTAAAGTGGTGGAGGAATAGCGGAAATGCCTTTGAAATACCGTATCCACACACCGTTGTGTATATATATTAAAAAAAAAAAAGAGAAAAGAAAGAAAGAAGAAAGTGAAATTGTGGCACGGATTGCGGGACTCAGCGTCCGTTACAAAAAAGGTCTTTTTTGTGTTTATGAGAAAAATCAAATTAAGTCGTCGAAGTTTCGACAACCTCAATTATTGAATTTGTAGTTTCCTTGTTATTACATTAATTAAATAAAGACTGTTTTTTTATACATTTTCTCGTGAGTTTTCCTACGTTGTCAGTTGTACGTTTTATACCGCGCCACCTGTAAAGTGTTTGACGTGAATTCTTAAAGTATTGAGCAAAAGTGGTTGAGGCAGAAGGCCCGTAAACGGACCACATTACATAGGTTTGTTTTCACATGAGAATCCCTCAGGTTGTGCGGTACACTGAGAGAAAACTCTTTTGATATAATACAAATAACCCGTGGAACTTTTCGAGTCATAAGTAAGTTTGTTTGAATTAACAAAATAATCGAATATAGTTTTGTATATATTGACTCAAGTTCCAACTACATTAAATAAGGCGTTATCTATATAAACCTTTAGACGATCTTTTTATTACGCTTTTTTGATAGTACGTGGTTTTATCAATTTTTTGCCGTCGTTGTCGATAATTCGCGAAAATCGTAATAGTGGTTTGCNATTAACAAAATAATCGAATATAGTTTTGTATATATTGACTCAAGTTCCAACTACATTAAATAAGGCGTTATCTATATAAACCTTTAGACGATCTTTTTATTACGCTTTTTTGATAGTACGTGGTTTTATCAATTTTTTGCCGTCGTTGTCGATAATTCGCGAAAATCGTAATAGTGGTTTGCTTTTAAATTTTTCGTTTTAATTAAATTAATTGATAGTACGTGGTTTTATCAATTTTTTGACGTCGTTGTCGATAATTCGCGAAAATCGTAATAGTGATTTGTTTTTAAATTTTTCGTTTTAATTAAATTAATTGACAGTACGTGGTTTTATCAATTTTTTGACACCGTTGTCGATAATTTGCGAAAATAGTAATAGTGGTTTGTTTTGAAATTTTTCGTTTTAATTAAGTTAATTGATAGAACGTGGTTTTATCAATTTTTTGACGTCGTTGTCGATAATTTGCGAAAAATTGTAATAGTGGTTTGTTTTTAAATTTTTCGTTTTAATCAAATTAATTGATAGTACGTTGTTTTATCAATTTTTTTACGTTGTTGTCGATAACTCGCGAAAATACTAATTTACCCCGAGGTTCAGTGGTACAATTGACGTTTGATTTTAAATTTTTCGTGTTAATTAAATTAATATTCGAAAGATGGCCAATGTTAATGATTTTTCGCGGGCGTGTGATGCATTGTTGGAATTCGAAGCGGGCTTCAACAACATGCCGTGTAGCAGCCATTCCATTTTTTCGCTGGAGATCCAAAAGGAGGAACTGAAGGCGCTCTGGGTCAAGGCGAAGGATGCGTTCGATGACTACTCGAAAAAGGTGTCGGACGACGAAACAGGTCAGGCTGCACTTCGGCTGGCGAAGTGCAGATACCAGGATTGCTACTCAGCATACTTGACGTGCGGTGCATTGATGGGAGAGACGGCTCATAACCTGATGTTCACGCAGCAAAGTAGTTCGACAGTCAATCCGGTAAATCGCTTACCTCCATGTGACACAGAAATTTTTTACGGTGATTACATGTCTTGGCCATCTTTCCGCGATTTGTTTACCGCAATTTACATTAACAATTCGCGTTTGACCCCGGTAGAGAAATTGTACCACTTGAATCGTGAAAAAATCGCCTTTAACTAACGACGGTTTCGCGACTGCTTGGCAAAATTTATCCGACCGCTATGAAAATAAGAGGATAATGGTAAATAGCCAATTAAAAACGCTTTTTAACCTACCATCGGTAACGTGCGAACGCGGTACGGAAATTAAAAATTTACAACGGGCACTGAATAATTGTATATCCGTTTTAGAAATGTACGGGATTGATATTGAGAACTTGGATGCGATTTTTGTGTTCTTAGTATCGAGTCGGTTACCGGATACTACGCTGGCGTTGTGGGAACAAGGCATTGTGAGAAAGGCGGAAATTCCAAAGTGGGAGGAATTAGACAGGTTTCTCACAAGTCGGTTCCAGACGTTAGAAACGGTGTCCGATATCCGAAGTGCACGAGCAGTAAAGCCTGTACCTAATCGCCAACCCGCAACAACAGTTTTCGCAGCCCGCATGCAGATAATGCCCCGAACAATCTCATGCACTAAAGGGCTGCTCCAAATTTCTGGCAATGAAAGTTGAGGATCGCCTCAACTTAGTCAGAAAACACAACTTGTGAATGAACTGCCCGCATGCAGATAATGCCCCGAACAATCTCATACACTAAAGGGCTGCTCCAAATTTCTGGCAATGAAAGTTGAGGATCGCCTCAACTTAGTCAGAAAACACAACTTGTGAATGAACTGCCCGCATGCAGATAATGCCCCGAACAATCTCATACACTAAAGGGCTGCTCCAAATTTCTGGCAATGAAAGTTGAGGATCGCCTCAACTTAGTCAGAAAACACAACTTGTGAATGAACTGCCCGCATGCAGATAATGCCCCGAACAATCTCATACACTAAAGGGCTGCTCCAAATTTCTGGCAATGAAAGTTGAGGATCGCCTCAACTTAGTCAGAAAACACAACTTGTGAATGAACTGCCCGCATGCAGATAATGCCCCGAACAATCTCATACACTAAAGGGCTGCTCCAAATTTCTGGCAATGAAAGTTGAGGATCGCCTCAACTTAGTCAGAAAACGCAACTTGTGTATGAACTGCCTAGCGCATTCACACGTCGCGAAGGATTGCAAGAGTCCGTTTAGTTGTTGGAGCTGTCATCAGAGGCATCATTCACTACTACATCGAACTTCAGCTCCACAGAAGGCCAACTCTTCGCAACAGCGACCCTCCCCCCCCGAGGAACAAGGACTCACGACCTGAGCAACCCCCAGCAGGTACAAGCAATGTGCAGGTGCTTTTTGCAGCGAGCAACCGGAACATTCTTTTAGGTACTGCTATGGTGAACATCTGCCACTCAGGAGTTAACTATGAGGCCAGAGCCCTACTGGATTCTGGATCAGAGGGAACTTTCATCACGGAACGACTTCAGAGACTCATCAGGCTGCCAACGCGTGCGGTTGATACGCAGGTATCGGTCATAAATGCCACGGTATCGGCAAATGTGCGAAAAGTCGCGCATTTGGCTATAGGTTCTCCTGTAAACCCCCAGTTTAGAATCGAGGCAAGAGGTCTGGTTCTACCCCAATTAACAGGAAACCTCCCGAAGTTTACAGTGGATCAAGTGCATCTTGATTCACTACCTCCTTTAAGGCTAGCCGATGTCAACTTCTACAGGAGTCAGTAAGTGGACCTACTTATTGGAGCGGATGTCTACCCAGCGGTTATAAAGGAAAATGTGCAACGGAATATTCTGGGATCACTTGTAGCGCAGGAAACGGTATTTGGCTGGATTTTGACGGAACCAGTACCACCAACGACCGTGAGGAGTTTCACTACTTCTGTGTCTTACGGCACAGAGACTCCAACCCCCCAGCTAACTCGGTTTTGGGAATTAAAAGAAGTTTCCACCAAAAGGAAAATTACCCCCGAAGATGCGTTTTTGCTCTACCTTTTCGTCGTAAATTTCCAGACGAAATTAACCTCGGATTTTCAAGGACTGGAGCAGCACGGCAATTCTTGCGGAGCGTGGCCGGTTATATCAGGAAACCAGAGTTGAAAACGGAATACGACCGGGTTCTGAAGGAATATATCGAGCTCAACCATATGTGCCCCGTGAGGAAAACAGCGCAACAACCAGCACACAGGCCGTATTGCTTACCACATCACGCCGTCGTGAAACCGGACAGCATAACAACGAAGGTGCGAGTGGTGTTTAACGCGTCTTGTCCCACGTCAAATGGAGTCAGCTTAAATGACATCTTATACCCCGGGCCTATTCTGCAAGCGGATTTGGTTTGCTTACTTTTAAAGTGGCGCTTATTCAAGTACGTATTTAATACAGACATCGAGAAGATGTATAGGCAAATTATGCTCCATCAGGAGCATACCCCATTTCAAAGAATTCTTTTCAGAGAATTCCCGGACGAAGAACTTAAGGATTACGAACTTAAGACCGTGACGTTTGGAGTAAACTGCGCTCCATATTTGGCAATAAGGACGCTACACCAGCTCGCAGATGATGTGAAAACGAGATTTCCACTGGCAGCAAAGATTTTGAAGCAGTATATGTATGTCGATGACGTCCTGGCTGGAGCCCACGATTGCACAACTGCAATACAAATGCGAGATGAGGTAATTGAAGCTCTTAACACCGCCAGCTTCCCCCTAAGAAAGTGGACTTCGAATTGTAAGAAGATTTTGACAGGACTACCCAAGGCACATATATACAAGGAGAATTTCTTGGAGCTTGACGACATGAGTGAGACAAAAATGTTGGGAATCCGTTGGAACGCGGTACATGACATGTTTCAGTTCACCGTACAGCCGATCCCCCGGAAGCAGGAGTATACCAAATGAGAGGTTTTATCCTGCGTAGCAAAATTGTTCGATCCAGCTGGATGGCTCGGACCAATTGTAGTGGTGGCAAAGATCTTCATGCAGGAGATCTGGCTAACCAAAATAGACTGGGATGACAGTCAACCCCGAAATGTACTGCTACGTTGGGAAACCTTTCTGGATAACTATGAGCATATTCAGAAGATAAAAATCCCCCGATGGACCAATTTTACGCCATGGGACGAAGTAGAGTTCCATGGATTCTGCGATGCCTCTGAAAAGGCATATGCAGCCGCGCTATATATTAGGGTACGCGATCGCGCATCAAACAATGCGCCCCACATAAACTTGCTGGTGGGTAAAACAAAAGTAGCGCCAGTAAAAACGGTGTCTCTACCCCGGTTAGAGCTCTGCGGAGCATTATTACTGGCCGAACTAATTAATACTTTTATTCCGCAGTTTGAAGTCACGCAGCCAGTAATATACAAATGGACTGACTCCACGGTCGTACTCTCATGGCTGAGGAAACCGGCATGTACATGGAAAACGTTTGTAGCTAACAGAGTCGCAAAAATTGATGAGCTGGATGGAGCATCAGGGTGGAATCTTGTGGACTCTGCGGATAATCCAGCGGATCTTGGCAGCCGAGGCGTGTCCCCCTAGTATCTACTCTCAAACACTCTGTGGTGGTATGGACCTAAGTGGTTGGAGCAAGATTCATCTACTTGGCCCCACCAAACCAATAGAAATCCATTAGAAACCGATCTGGAGCAAAAAACGGTACGGGCTCATGCGGCAGGCATCTCCGAAGAAACGGAAACGAATTTTCCGATTTTTTAGAAAAACTCATCCGGTGCATAAGTTGGCCGCTAGTGACGAGACCGACGAAATGACCGCCGATGAAATCAAGCAGGTAAAATGTCGTCTCATCCTTTTTGCACAGAGGCGTCACTACGCAGATGAATACAGGTCCATCAACGCTTCAACGCCAATCAACGCGAAAAGTTCACTTCGACAGGAACGGAGTTATGAGGGTAGGAGGACGACTGGCGTTAACGAACTTACCTTACAGTGAACGGTATCCAATAATTCTCCCATACGACTGCCAGTATTCAAGATTGCTCGTAAGATTCACACATCTGATTTCCTTGCATGGAGGAAACCAGCTCATGTTGAGAATTTTGCGGTCCGAACACTGGATAGTGCGAATGAAAAACTTGATTAAAAATTCAATTCATAACAGTAAGGTTTGTGTTATTTACAGAAAGAAGGCGCGGGAGCAGTTGATGGCAGCGTTACCACCGGAACGAACTGAGGTATCCAGACCCTTCACCAACACTGGAGTCGACTTCACCGGTCCTTCCGAAATACGGAGTTTCACGGGTCGAGCGTGTCGCATTACCAAAACATAGGCGTTTTCGTCTGTTTTGCGACAAAAACAATACACTTGGAGGCCACCAGCGATTTGTCCACCGCCACATTTTTAGCAGCTTTTGCGCGTTTCGTGTCTAGACGTGGCTGCCCGCACAATGTGTATTCGGACAATGGAACCAACTTTGTAGGGGCAAATAAGGCTTTGCGACAGGATCTAAAACTCTTTGTCTCTGCAGCGGCCAACAGCACGACCCAGACATACGCTCATCAGGGCAATACGTGGCATTTTATACCTCCAGGAGCACCTCACATGGGAGGGCTCTGGGAAGCGGGGTAAAAAGCTTCAAGATGCATTTCCGGAAGGTAGCAAACAACATGCGTTTTACCATTGAGGAGCTCTCCACGCTTCTGGCAAGAATCGAATCTTGTCTTAATTCACGACCAATCAGCGCCTTCTCTGAAGACGCGGAATCAATGGAGCCTCTAACCCCAGGACACTTCTTAATTGGCACCCCGCTACTGGCAATTGCTGAACCCGAAATTAAGGAGAACCCGATGTCTATTGTCAACCAGTGGCAAAAGATCAAAGCGATTCACCAAACATTCTGCAGAAGGTGGAAAGCAGAATACCTGAAGGAGTTGCAGAATAGAGTGAAATGGCACTCGCCCCAGCGAAACCTCGAATTTTACGATCTAGTCGTCGTCAAAGAGGATAACCTCCCCCCAAATGAATGGCGACTTGGCAGAGTAANTGGCACTCCCCCCAACGAAACCTCGAAGTTGACGATCTAGTCGTCGTCAAAGAGGATAACCTTCCCCCAAATGAATGGCGACTTGGCAGAGTAATTAGGGTCTTTTCAGGTCAGGACAGCCGAGTACGAGTCGTAGAAATACGAACGGCACGCGGAATTATAACTCGACCAATTGTAAAATTGGTACTTTTGCCAGATTGACAAAACAAAATAATAATCGTATCTCTCTTTACAGAACTCACGCGAAATGGTACGTGCAACCAAAAGCAACACCCAAGCTAACAAGGGCCAATACCGCTGCCCAGTGTGCCGCAGCAACCACCGCCTGGCTTTTTGTCGCGAGATGCGCAGGATGGAACCGGCCGAGAGACTGCGTGCTGTCCTCGTGCACCGCCACTGCGCCAACTGCCTGTCGCCGCATCACACGGCGAAGAATTGCGCATCTCCCCGAAAATGCGAGCATTGCCGAGACCGGCACCATAGCCTTCTCCACCTGGGCGAGGCACCCCGAGATGAGGAAGATGTGCTGCTGGGATTGGACGAGCCAGAGATCCGTCACCGACGGCCATCCCGACCGTACAACCTCCGGCCATTGGCCGAATCGAGCGACGACGGAGAGGTGCTGGAGATTGACGCCGACGAGGACGACCTCCAACCCGCAGCGAATGAAGTTTCCGCCCCCAACGCGCCGCCGGCATTCAGACCTCCTCTGTCGGGTGTCCGGTCGGCTATACAGCGAGCCCCAGCAACGAGGTCGAGGCGCNCGCCGAGGCGCACACCGACGCCAACGGCGATCCCAGCAACAACCCCACCGCCGTGGTGTGAGAGACGCCCGAGAGCGGATCACGGGAACGGCCCGTAGCGCTCCTAGGCTATCTGTCCTCGCACCCACAGTAGCGGTTAAGGTGATGACCCGTGGCAGGACGCAAGTGGTGCGAGCTATCGTCGATCCAGGGCAACCCAAGTCGACCATATCGCTACAGCTGGCGCGCCGACTCCAGCTGCTAGCCCGGGGTGACTCGGATGTGTGCAGGCCCACGCTCAAAGGGTGGCATGAAAGGCTTGATATTTGCGCCCACGTGCAACCAGGCCTCTCTCGGGTAACCCCCCTCGCACGCTGGATGCCAGGATCACCAACGAGTTCGACAATTTTCGGCTGGCCGACCCGGGTTCTTACAAATCTAGCGCCGTATCACTAGTCCTAGGAGCCGAAATATACGCAATGATCCTGCGTCCGGGACTGATGCCAGCCACCCCCACTCGACCAACGGCGCAGAACACAATGTTCGGGTGGATGATCTCGGGAGGCAACATCTATTAGTGGACTACCAGAAGCAATTGGCCTGAAATTCAAAAATGAATTTTTTAATGAACTTATGAATTGTTAAAGAAAAAAAATTAACTTATGAATTGTAAATAGTAAAATGAAATAGAAAAAATGAATTGTAAATAATTTAGTTAAGTTTATTGCAGCGACACTGCAAGGCCGGCGGCATGTTTACACTAGCCCCCTTCACCTTAAGTATATTTATTGATTAGAGAATTTCACTTGTAGATGTCGCTGTGATCTAAGCGGGAACAGTTATTCGTAACTCGAGTTCCTTTTTCTCGAGTCCTGTTACTCGCCTCGGATGTTGGGTTTCGCCTTCTGCGATCACCCAACACTCTGCCACTTTGGAAGAGAACTCCGAGCAATCAACAAGTAAGGTCCTCATCATCAATCTAATTTTATAACCTTCTATTACAGCATTTTTTTATATACATATATATATATGCAATAAAGTGGCCGTTAGGCACTCAGATATATATACATATAACAGTGAAAAAAGTGAAGTGTCTCATTTAATTTGTTGAGCGAATTTTTTGCGGTTTGATTCAACCTCGAAGAACTTTAGGGATTCGGCACCTCCTCGACCCTCGTTTGCCGCGGAATTCAAGGGGAATTCCCGACCCCCATTTCACCCCGTCCCGATCACTTTGCATGTGTGCCAGATGCTGAACTTGTATTCAAATATTTACAAGCAAAATTTTCAAAAGTTACCAAGCGGGTTCTTCAACACCGTCCACTTTCAATAAATCGGGAAAAAGTTGACGAATATAAAAAATCTTTAATCGAAACTTACAACGATATTTTGATTCAATTAAAAAATTCTGAACAACAAGGGCACAAGTCAGCTTTTATAATTAAAAGTTTACCAAGGTGTAGAGAAAAACTACTTCAGTATTTTCAAAAAATTGGGTGTAATGTTTCAGTACCCGAAGATTTTTCAGTTCTAATACAAGAAAATATTTTAAATTCAGAAGTAGATTCCGACGACGACTTCGCTGACGCTTTTTCGGCTGGCACATCAGAAGTTTCCATCGTTAAAAAAAGTTGTTCTTTACCTTCGTTTAAAGATTTTTTACAAATTGAAGAAACGACTAGCGTAACGATTAGGTCACCGAATATAAATTTTATTGAATATACAAACGACATAAAAATGGCAACACTTGAGCAAAAGAAATCTTTTATTAGCCTGTGTGCATTTATAATCCGAGAAAACTATAGTGGTGCCCCACTATCGCTCGACTCATTCATTGACAAAATAAACTTAATAGAAGAATTATCGGACGAAAGTTTAACTACAACATTTATAGCATTTTTAAAATCAAAAGTCGAAGGCAAAGCGCGTGAGGTTTTATCCAGTCAAATAATTTCGGTTTATCACATAAAACATGCGCTACGCAGCAGAATTAAACCAGATAATTCCAAAGTTGTCTCTGGCAAAATCGCGTCATTACATATCACAAATAACAACTATTCCGATTTTGCGAAGCGAGTAGAGGAATTATCTGATGCATTAGAGCGATCTTTAATTATTGAGGATATGACTCAAGCGAAAGCCCATGAGTTAGCGGTAGAGCAGACGGTAAACGTTTGCAGGCTGAACAGTCGTTCAGAGCTAGTGAAATCCATTTTGGCATCAACAACTTTTACCGATTCAAAGGATGTAGTCGCAAAAATGATTGTAAAACATAATAATGAAGTCAAAGAGCGGCAGGTGTTATCGTTTAGTCACGTGCCAATAAACCAAATAGTTTTCGAAGAGGTTTTAGAGGGCAAAACAACTACGGCTATTACAACAATAGTTTCAGATTTAATAGCAGCAATACAAATAGGCACAATAATAGCAACAACACAAGGCACAATAATCAAAATAATTACAATAGAAGTAACAATTTCAACAATAGACAAAATATTTACAGAAATATCACAAGCAATCGTTCGGCTAGCAACAGAAACAGCTCTTCTCGTTCGAATTCGAGAAATACATCTAATATTCGATTTTTAAACGCCGATGCCCCTCAGGAGCGAACACTACCAATTACCCCAGAAAAATTAATTCACTGCTTGAACCTCAACTATTCTGATTTTATTGAATTAAATTGTACCGATTCTTACAAATTATGCTCGTTTCTCGTAGATTCACAAGCAGACATCTCATTAATCAATATTTCCAGTGTAGCAAGAAATTCCGCAATTAAGAGTAGCAATAC